GAAGAAGAAGAAGAAGAAGAAGAAGAAGAAGAAGAAGAAGAAGAAGAAGAAGAAGAATGTTCTTGACTACTGCAGTATGGCATCAGGCTAGAGCTGTAGCCAATAATTCTTTCAAAATTGAAAACTTTTAAGAGTTTTACAACATAGTACCTAGTAGTCCAAGATGTCAATATTATATATTTCCTTAAGAGTTTTATTCTAATAACCATTATGGAATGACATCTTTTGCACATTTCCAGCAAGATAACAATTATTCTAAACTCGTGTGCACAGTTCTCCCTGGAGTAATATGATTTAGAATAAATTGTTGCAAATACGGGATTGCTGAGGAATTTCAGTTATCCTGTTAGTAATGGGACTCACAGGCATGTAAGCTTGAGAATGTTGATTTAAGCCAAAATACTCCTGTGTTATTATTACAATAACAATTAAGGACACTTCAGGAACCAGTATGCCAAAATACCACATGAAAGGATGGTTTAAAAGATGATCACATTTGTTCTGGCTCGCAGTACACCAGTGGGAGGGGAAAGCCTTTCCAAGTTGGATATTTCTATGAACATGGACAGATGAAGAACATTGCTGGCTCCTTGCCATGCAGATGTTTATGAATGAATTGTTCAAAATGTGGGATTTGGCTTTAAACAGTAAATCTGTAAAATAAAATATTCTCAACTTGGTCTGTGTTGGAGAGATATTATGAAATAATAGAACAAGATTTTTCTTGTGTCTAGTTTCCATTGTAGCTGTGCCATGTTTTGTATAGTTTCAATTACTTGTACTTCTAGGGTTGAAACATTAGTCTTCTGCTCTTCCCTTAACTCTCTCCTGTACCTACTCCAGCTTTCTCCAACCTTGATGTGTTTAAGATTATGGAGTTTGCCTCCCAGAATTCTCAGCTATGGGTGTTGAAGTCCACACATCTGGAAGGCATCCCTGTGGGGAATGTGGCCAATAGTGCCTTCTATAGCTTTTTACCAACATTCCACTAGATCACTTGACAGCATTTGAAAATGCATGCATTGCCTCAAATCCAAATTAAACAGTTAACCTCTACTGTTTACATTTTGGAGTCTTTTGATAACAATGAATGTTTAAGAACTGAGTGGGAAATGGATATCAATATCTGCATTTAGAGATCTGTTGGCAGAGGCACTGGAGTCTACTTCAGCTTCAGTGTGCAAAATTTCTTAGAACATAGATTAATCTAATCCTTATCCACCGTCATAATTTTAAAAACTGTCTCCCTTATTCTGAAGGGAATGCAAGGCAAGGATGTTTCTGATTCATACACAGTGGATTTATTAAAACTGTCTGGGAATAGGTTTGAGTGAACACATCAAACATTGTTCTTCAGGTCATACCCTTTGATCTAACATCAGAATTTCGTTCAATAGGTGGAGGGGATTAAGAACAGCTTCTCCACAAAAAAAACTTCCTTGTAGCCTTTGCAGGTTAAATAGAAGAACCTGGATATATAGCTAGAATCAACCTAGAACTAGTTTGCAAGGATTTTTTGCTTTGCTCTGGCTGAGAAATTAATGATTCAAATGAGACTGGCAGGAATCCCAGCTAAACAAAATACTTTTTCGAAAAGTAAAGAAGTATGAAGGATTCAGCTTTTACCGTCATTTAAAAAAAAAATTTGGGAAACACATGCATTCCTGACTTACGATAATCATGTTGTAATGACAGTCTTTTGATTTAGGACTTCATTAATATTTGTTATATGCTTGCCATATTTATGTACATGTTGGAAAGGGAGGGAGGAAGCGAGAGCCCCAATTTTGCCAAATGCACTTTTAACAGTTCAAAGTGCAGAGAAGATTCTCACTATCTGCACATGGGGATTCCTATCCCCATTCCTTTTACAGCAAGGGTGAGGGGAAAACATTTGGGAAAGCAAATGATCTGTTTTATGATCCACTCCCTACACTAAATCAGGTTGGAAGAAAAATACAGCGAGCTTTTGCTCATAGAGAAAATGCAGGCAGGATTCAAGATTGTGTATGACTAACATGAACTGAGGTTGAGCAAGCACAGGGGTCAGTGAATGTCACAGTGCACGAACTGCTTTCATAACAATACCTGCCACTCAGCCCTGTCACCCATAACAGGTTGAACTTGATCTCTTTGGGTGATTCCTTCCAACTTTTGGATTCCAAAACACATGTGTTTATGCGACTGTGACCCATCTCTCCAATGCCTTTAGTTACAGAGCCAGCAAGTTTTCCTGCTGTTTATGACAGCAGTAATTAAGAGATGGATTATAATGAATGGAAATATATCATGTATGTCAGCTGTGCAGATGGCTTCTTGTTTGGTAAGCATTCCAAATGAATTAAGCATGATTCCCATAAACATATATGAAGGGGTTTATCCAACTCTTCTCCAGTCTGGTGCCTTCCAGATGTGTTGGAACAAGAACTCAGAGAATTCCATTGTCCTTGCTGGCCAGGAATTCTGCATTTTGCAGTCCCGGTTTATCTGAAGGGCATCCAGAAGTGGCTTGGAATTCAGACTCTAATTCTAAATTGAGGAAGGCTGACCTATTTTAATTCAGTCAATATAGTCTTTCAAAGTGTAAAGCAGAGTTCTTCCAGCTGTCTGAAATCTTTTCTAATGGGAGGTGCCATGGATTTCAAATTGAACCATGTGCATTTGAAGTGCATGATTTGCCATCTTAAAGGAAGAGCCATAATGTGAAGGAAGAATGGGGGAAATGATTCCCCAGGTGAATTGTGGAGGAATAAATCAGAGCAAAACAGGTGTTGCAAATATTCCAAAGCTTTCATTTTCAGTTCACTTGCTACTATGAACTCTAATAGCCAGACATTAGGCATGACTCTTGTTTGTTCTTTCTAGGCTGGGAAAGGACAGCATGAATGCTGTATTTGGCCCAAATTACTACTTTTCCTTCTCTTGCTTTGCTTTGCTGTCCAAGAATCTGCTGCAAAAATTCAGTGGTGAATGGCCAAAATTGCATGATTTTCTGCCATATTTTTTAGTGAAAAGGGTAACATAAAAACAGCAAACTCCAAAATGTAATAAATAGGCCAATAATTCTGCCTCTAGTTCTCTAAGGATTTGGTTGAGTGAATCCTTTGGCGATCAAAAGATACTGCAAATAATTTTCTCTTTTTTTGAAATACAGCTCCTGGCCACAAAAAAGTTGCCCACCTGTGTTAGTTCTTACTTTGCCAAGTGGAAAAACCAGTTCTGGTCTTCACTTTATACAAGTGAACGTTCATCCAGTAATACATTAGAAGGATTTGGGCACGCACTTTCGCTTTGGGCACTGCTTTCTGAAATAAAATGCATTTCAAAATCTTTTGAGGATTCATTGGGGTTCTGGAGTGCATGTCAAAAATCCTTCTGGATCCTGATCAAACCAGAAGCATGGCAGAAGAAATTCTGGTTTGTGCACAGGTGTTGTGAGAAATGGGAAAAAATAAGTAAGGATCTCTGCCTTCCCTCACCCCCAGAATTGAGTCTTTATTTTCCCAAAATTATTTTAAAAATCAGATTTCGCTCTTGATAAAAGAGATTTCACTCTTGATAGGTCTTATCCAGTCATTTCACATTAACTGATACACATATTCAATGAGGGGCTAGCATTGTCATAGAACAGTCTGGTATGGGACCATATGTCCCAATTATTATTATTAATAATAATAATAATAATGACATAGGCAACAGTTAAGGCAGGCTTTTATAGTGTGATTGCAGGTGCTAGCTTGTCTTTTTTCAGGGCTAAAACCCCCACCTTTTAAAAAAGTCACCAACATTGAAAAGATTATCAAGGGGGTAGAAGGTGAAGTCAGAGTAGTTCAAGCAAAGGCCAAGCTAGAAAAATCTACAGGCTAGGAATTTCTGCTTCCACAATAGCCTCTGGGCAAAACATAATAGCTTGTAGCAGGCACAATCTTTAGCATCCTCATAGAGCTATTGGTTCATCTAGACAAAACTGGCATGGGCCCCCCCCCCCGGGCTTCTGATGGGTTTCCTTTCCAACTGTGCTTTTCATGAAGCTTAGGACTAAACTGGGAAGGTTTCATTCTACAGTAAGCTACACTCCCTTCTTCAAGCTTGACTTTATTTGCTTTCAGACTTCCAAAGGTTCTCAGCTTTGGACCAGTATACTGCCCTGTTCATGATGGGTGATGAGTAGAATTCTAATCTAATAAATATGCTTATAGCTATGTTAAGTGAAGCCTATATGAAGTCATGCATGAGCCAAATAATAGGCTTTAACAGATTCAATTTTGCTGAGTGGGCATGAAGACATTTGTGATTCAAAGTCACTGCTAAAATAGAATTTTAGTTTGTTCACTGATCATATATAAAAACCAAAGGCAAGACCACATCAATAACAATATAACATAAAAGCAAACTTTAAAATGCTATTAGTAACCCTTGTTTTGGGATGACAAGGGTTGAGCAGTTGAACATGACATGCACTCAGAGAAACTCGGTCAGAAGAAAGGTAAGTAAATAACAAAAACATGTCAGATTGGCCTTGATATTTTGTTGGAGAAGAAGGTAATACTCTAAACCAATATTTGCATAGCAATTGCTATATATAATATATGCTGCTGTTTCAGAGCCACTCTGAATAGCTTGTCTGAATATGCTAACTTTATATACCTTTCAAGGGAGACTGTCCA